CATCCCATCCCTTTCCAGGTGACTCTATATTGTGTCAGTTTGACATTAAAATGAACCCTCACAGGAATGGTCTCTAGCACTGACATAGTGACTTACAACTGTAACAGCAGTTCTAAGGGATCCAACAACCTCTTCTGGCCTCCATAGGCAAGTGGCCTCTATGGTCAGGCAGAACACTCAAATATGCCTAAAAATAAGTCTTTAAAACATTGAACCCATCACGGTAGCTTTGAAAATAAATGCGCTCTTACATCCAAAAGCTCTAATGCCCTGCAGATCTGGCTTGTGTGGTCCATAGCCCAGGCTGCCGAGCTCTTGCCCCCTAGTCTGGCCCGAGGCTGTTATAGCATCACCAGTAAGCTAAAGCTGTTCCCTCCTTCCCGTTGAGCTGGTGTTCAGGTTAAATCGAGAGGTTCTGCCTCGAAAGGATAAGCCTATTTTCCAGAAATACTGTACCAGCCTTTAGGGACCATTCTCCCCAGCTGTTCCCTGGTAAAAGTGTAGTGTCCTAGACAGTTCCTGCCATCCAGCATCACAGTGGTAGACCTTTCCCGAAAGGCTGCTGCAGTCCTTCCCAGAACAACACAGTTTGAAAAGGGGCTTTGATTCTTATTCTGATAGTAGCAAGAATTTCAAGTGAATTGAATGGAAATGGTAAAAATAAGATATTGTCATCTAAAGACTCTGTTTTTGGAAGTATTGAACAGCAGCATACAAAACAGGCATTATCCTGGTGGGACTATGAGTTTGATAATTCACATGACAGCTGTCCCTGGGTATGGTCTTACTATTGTCAGTTTCTGTTTTACTCTGTGATATCCTAAAACTCCTCTCTAATGAAAATATTGGTGAGCAGTGTGCATTTTACTGGCAGACTCCATCAATTTTTCCCCTTGTTTGTGGTGACTTCTCAGGTTTTCCTGGGATCTAAGAGGAACACTGCATCCACACCATTTCTTTGGAGAGCTGATGGCTGTATATACTTTCCATCTTCTAGTGGTAATAATTACACAAATAAAACTCAGAAATTAGTGAGACTCTGGAGCTGTAGTAAAGGAACTTGGTTTGACCATGTCAACTTTTATCCACACAGGTGCTCAGAGTTTAAGAAGCTGGTATAGGATAAGCGTAAGGAGTATCTACTTATCTAAGAAAGATGTCAAGGAAACGTGTGGACTGTTTATTTTAAATTACAGATTAATTGTATCAATAGTTGAACTCTTTCTACTCTAAGGAGATTGTGGCCTGCCTGTATGGCATAGATTTGTAAAGTTGTATTACCTCAGTTCTAGGCACATGAGACTAATTGAATTGAGATATGCTAGAAGCTGAAAATGCACATTGGATTTTAAAGATGTCGATAGTCTCTTAAATTTTTAAAATTAGATTTACTCATTTTGTATGGTGTGAGTTTTTTGCCTGCAGATGTGTGTGTGCACCACGTGCTTGCTTAGTGCCTGCTGAGTCAGAAGAGGGCGCCAGACCCCTTAGAACTGGAGTTACAGATGGCTGTGGACCACCGTGTGGGTGCTCAGCGTTGAACCTTGAAGAGCAACAGCTTCACTTAACTGTTGAGCAACTCTCCAGCCCCCAGTTATGCTCTCTTAGAACAGGGCCCCCTGCAATTGTTAACCCTGTAGCAGGGATTACAGGTGTGTGCTACCATGCCCGGCTATATACTGATTGAGTATTTACTGTAAGTTGAGAGGATACACTTTTAGATATACTAGGTTAAGTAAAATATCAAAATGAGTTTCACCTGTGTCTCCTGCTTTTCTGCTGTGGCTGACTATTGGCTCACACTATCTGTTGGTCATTGCTGGTCTAAGGACGAGAACACTGCATCCAGTAAAGGCTGCGTTCTGACCTCTCACTCAGTGTTAGACTATTAATTTTCAGCACGTGGGTAACTCTTACTGATGTAGAGGACTTACTACGAAGGCACGATAAAAATTAGAGTATTTAGTTTGACTGTACTCAGTAAATAACAGGAGCTTTAAGAAAAAGCAAACCTTTGATTAAAAAAGTCCCTGGAGCTCATAGCTTATATAGCCAAGGCAATATGCATCTGCACCCAGACTTCTAGCTGTAAAAACTCTTCAAATTTGCTCCTAGGTCAAGGAAAACCGGGGAATTGTTTGAGTTTGAGTCCTCACTGAGAGATTTTCTCCTAGGTCAAGGGAAACCAGGGACGCATTTGAGCCTGAGTTGTTACTGAGACTTTGTGCACCACTGTGCGTATTTTCACTTCCGCTGTTGCGCGCACAGATCATGAATATCCGAACTTTGTTGTTGGGCTGCATTCCTTGGGACCTGGCGCGTCTTTTCCTGAAGACTCCTCTGCCTCTGTTCTGGTGCAGTCTCAGCATCTTTAAGTGACCCTGCGGTTTGCTGCATGTGCTTGACAGTGAACAGAGCTTAAGTTCAATGCGACTCTCCACTATGGAGTTCCAGATATTGTCTATGCCACTGAAAATGTAACAAACCAAATATTAAGGAATATTTAATTCATCGTACGGGTGTACCAAATTACACAAATGAGTCGTGTTTAGAGATAATTTTCCCAAGTGGTTGAGAGCATGGGCTTTGGAATGCAACTGAGTCCAACTGTCTCTCTCCAGAAGTAACTTGGGCAGCTGGTAAGTCTCCACATTCTTACTTATGATAGATGAACTCAGGTTCCCCTTGCTGGAGTGCTAATCTACAGTATCTTAGAAGAGGGTATCTGAGCGCATAGTTTTGTGGGTGTCAGTCCCTGGCTGTCTTTGGCCCTTATGCCTTTGGACCTGTGGAGAGGACAGCTCATCACGGCATGGTTCACGTGACAGAGAAAACTCACCTCATAGCTGAGGAGCAACGGAGAGAAAGGAAGAGATTTCCCCTCCCTTCAAGAGCACACTCCTGTGATCTTCTAGCCTCCACATAATGATTCCAGCACCTTCCAGAAATACCACTCTGGGGCACAGCTTTTAAGCCAAGGGTCTCTCAGGAACATTGGCACACTAAGCTGTAGCTCTTGCCCTCGTGAGACGAGGGGGGGAGGGGGCAACAGCAGTCCGTTAACTAGAAAAACCCAGGTCCTATTCCCTGTCACCGCCTGGAAACAGCCAGAGGATGGTGCATTACTTTTCTTGCTTTAAATGTCTGGAGAGCCTGACTCTGGCACATACATGGGAGTCTTCGGTCCCCTTTTTACATCTCTTTAGAAGCACCATGGCTCCCTAACTGTGCCTGCCTCTCCTCTGAGTTCTGGCTGCATCCTGCCTTTCTGATCTGTATAGATAGTTCTGGGAAGAGCACGGACAGGTTTGACAGCTAACTCTGGGTGTCCATAGACCTTTTTCTAGCACAACTTCACTGTATGGGTTTAAAATAGCACAAGGATGAGGATGGGAAAAATGGTGTCCGGAAATGAAGAAAGCAGAGAGCCCATCGGTTGAGCCCGAGGATGGTGATGCCTCCTCATCACCAGGGATTGTGAGAGAGAGAAGTGAGATCTGCTGTGACTGTTCTTGATTCTCTTTAATGTACGTGGATGTCCTCTTTCTTCACTTCCTACGTACTTTGTGTATAACCTTTTTATCATCGTCCAATTATATGCTGAAGAGAACCTTGATCCTATGAAGTGTCATTGGCTTTACTAGTAGTTATGCTTGTAGGTACTCACAGAAGAGCATCCCATGCTTCTGGGAATGTTTATAAGGAAGAGTACTTGTATTTGAGTTTTACTGAGTTTTTCCCTGTAACTACTAGTGGTCTTATTAAGCTGTACTGCCTACTATGACAATACAGGTCACACAAAGCTCGCTCCATACATTGAAATGAACTAAATGGGAATATATCATCAAAGCACATTACACACATGTCTGAAAATGACAGGTTGAAGTTCATTATTTTGTACAATTAATGTATTCCAATGAGAAAAAAAACTAAAAGACGGACAATAAATGTAGTTTATCAGTTGTGGTCCCACAGTTCTGGACAGTGATTATTAATTCTAGGTGAGAAATAACTGTTTTGAGAGAGCTTCATGTGGCCAGTGGCTATATACAGAACACATTTGCCTTAGAAAATTTTGTTAATAGAACTGAACTAGAGTATGAGGAGATTAGAGAACCACACATTTTATTTGACTTGGAATCATTATCAGAATCTAGGGTTTGCTGCCTGAATAGTTTAGTTATTCTGGTTCTGAGCTCATCAGGTAACTCATAGTATTCTAGTTGTAGATGTGCAGTTTAGCTCTTCATATTTCTAAAATTTGTCTCTTTTGTAAATAAATATGTTGAATATTTTTTCTTCATGTCTTGATACTCTATTAGAAGCTCCTGTTTTCTTTTTTTTTTACCAAAGATTTATTTATTTATTATGTACAGAGTATTTTGCCTGCATGTTCATCTGCAGGCCAGAAGAGGGCACCAGATCTCATTGTGGATGGTCTAGAGCCACCATGTGGTTGCTGGGATTGAACTCGACCTCTGGAAGAGCAGTCAGTGCTCTTAACCTCTGAGCCATCTCTCCAGCCCTGCTCCTGTTTTCTTAAGCATTATGGCTTTGCGTGGTCTAAAATAATAGTGTGGATATGAAATAGAGCCAGGCACATGCCTTTAACCCTAGCACTTAGGAACCAGAGGCAGAGGCAGGCATATTTCTTTGACTTCAAGGCCATCCTTCCTGGTCTACATAATGAGTTCCAGACCAGCCAGGACTACATGGCAAGACCTTCTCTCTCTCACACACAAAGATAAACAATAGAATTGATTATGTTCAGTCTGAAATGTATTGAGGTGATTACATGGCATACTAGGAATGAGTTAAAACAGGACATGTGCAGTGCCTACCATGTGTTAAGCATAGGCTTTGGGAAGATTTGAACCAAGAGTGGCTTTATGCTGCTCCCATTATTATGTGATGCACTCTTATACAGATGACCTTGCAATGGTTGTTGTGAGATTCAAGCTTGTCTTGTATGAGAAGTAATTTTTTGTTTTCAATCCTAGGAAGCTCTACAAAGAATCATTTCAACTCTGGCAAATAAGAACGATGAGATTCAGAACTTTATCGATACACTAAATCACACACTGAAAGGAGTTCAGGTATGAACATTTCTGTCAATAACTGTATGGCCGAATGATTGCTAGTAACATCTGAAGTTTAAATAACAGTGCCCTGACTTAGGAGTATAGCATAATGCAGCTGGGAATGGGGCTTCAAAGGACGGAAGAGTAAATCACTTCCTGTGTCATTCCTGCAAGTGCTGAGGGGCAAGGACAGCTGACATTACCTTGGCAAGTGAGTGTTACAGTCTTGTTCTTCACTAATTCCAAGTAAGAGCCAACGGTGCCTCTTCAGAGTAGTGGGAACAAACCGTTCTTTTACCGTATGTAACGTGAAGGAGGTGCAGACAGAAGTGGGCATGGATTCAGCGGCGCAGTGCTCAGGTAGGGAGAGGAATGTGGGAGGGAATGGCCTGGGCTGGGGCAAATCATCTTTTATTATGACCTGAGGTCACGTTACAGTTTATTATTCTTCTGTTAGACCAGTAGTTCTCTAACTGTGGCTTGTGACCCCATGGGAGTTTGATGACCCTTCACAGGGGTCACATCAGATTTCCTGCATATCAGATACTTGTATTACGATTCATAACATTAGCAAAGTTAAAGTTACGAAGTAGCAGCAAAAGCAATTTTATGCTTGGAGGTCACCACAGCATGAGGAGCCGCATTAAGGTCTCAGTATTGGGAAGGTTGAGGACCACTGATGTAGAGTAAGGTAGGTTGTCATAGGAATCCATTCTTCCCTTTGCTTATGCTTTTCAAATGTTGCATGGTTCTTGAGTAAAGTCTTGGTTTTGTTTTTTTAAAACAGGAAAATTCTTCCAACATACTTTCAGAATTAGATGAAGAATTTGATAGTTTGTACTCTATATTAGACGACGTAAAAGAGAGCATGGTCAGCAGCATCAAGCAGGAGCAGACCCGCAAATCCCAGGAGTTACAGGTGAGGTGTGCGCTGCCTGATCGATGCGGGGTCCTTAGAAGCAAGCACCGGAGTGTTGCCGTATCAGCGCTTTTAATGGCTTGGATCATAAATGTCTTTAGTATTTTCTAAAACTGTGGTTAAATGCAGAATGCACTATCAGCCATGTTAAGATATAGCTTTTTGATTCATACTGTTGTAGCAGAATTCAGGATCTTTTCCCTCTTATTACCAAGCTGAAATTCTTCGCTCCTGAAATAACAGGCCTCACTTCCCCTGCTCCTGGCAGTTGTGCTCTTTGCCCTGTTATTTTGATTACTTAGAGTTTCATGAAAGTGGAATTGTACAGCATCTGCCCTTTTGTGACTGCAACTTTAACATAGTGTTTGTTCCCGAGGTTGGCCCATGCTCTGGCCGTTGCCAAGGTTTCCTAATGGCTGAGTAAAGGTTTTTATATACTGCGTCATCTTCGCCTGTTCTTCTGTCTGTGGACCCTGAGCTGTTTATACCTTTGGCGTGTAAGCAGTGCTGCAGAGCGTGTGAACAGGCAGATACATCTGAAGACACTCTTCTTTCATTCTTTGGCTGTGTACCCAGAGGTCAGTGCGCTGATCGTGTGACAGCCACCTGGTAGTGTTCTTCTCACCAGCTGTGAGGGACTCCAGTCGCTTCACTCTTAGTAACATCCGTTTCCTGTTTTGTTTTCTTTTGGTGGCAGACATCGTAAAAAAGGGTATGAATCATCATCATCTTCTTCTTCTTCTTCTTCTTCTTCTTCTTCTTCTTCTTCTTCTTCTTCTTCTTCTTCTTCTCCTTCTCCTCCTCCTCCTCTTCCTCCTCCTCCTCCTTCTCCTTCTCCTCCTCCTCCTCCCCCTCCTCCTCCTCCTCCCCCTCCTCCTCCCCCTCCTCCTCCTTCCCCTCCTCCTCCTCCCCCTTCTTCTTGAGACAGGGTCTAAACATGTACATCTAGCTGTCCTGAAACTCACTTGTAGACCAGGCTGGCCTCAAACTCACAGAGATCATCTATCTTTGCATCCTGAGTACTGGTGTTAAAGGCATACACTGGTCTGCCTGGCTGTGAATCAGTGTTTTTGTTATGGTTTTGATTTCCATTTCTCTAGTGATTAGAGAGAGAGATGAGCAGTTTTTATATGCTTGTTAATGTCTATGTATTTTGCTTAAAGAAATTTTTGTTCATTTTTCCTGTTTACTTAGTAACTGTGTTAGGCACAGGTTCTGCTTACCTGCTTACCTAGCCCTTGGGCTCTGGATGGAAACCCTTGGCAGATATGATTTGGAAATATTTTCTCGTATTCTATATTTGCCTTTTACTGTAGGTTCTTTTCATTGTTCTGTAACTATATGTATAAATTACAGTTCAAAATAGTTTTTAATACTTGAGTCATACATAAGTTGGCTCAGACTTATATAGTTAAACATTATCAAGAAATTCAGTCTACATTACAAAGGTTGCTTTCCGTGGGTAGATTATCCTGATATTTTAGCTTATATTATACACAGTTTTTGACTACTCTAAGAAACTTTAAGTTAATTTCTTACCACTTATTTATAATTACTTTATTTCTCCTTTTGTTTTAAATTATGTACTCAATAGTTTTATCTGCATGTAACTAAACTTTTAAAATATTCGTGCCTAAGACTATGGGTGATGTGTGCATGTGGGTCCAATGACAACCTTTTCAAGTCAATTTTTACCTTTCACTGTGGGACAAGTTCATGTTATCAGACTTGGACCACAAATGCTTCTATCCACTAAGCCATCTTGGCAGCCCTAGTTAGGCTGTTTTGGATAAATGATAAGAAAAGAGGCAATTTTGTCATGTATATGACTGATGGTAATTATCCTTCTCCATTTGCTCTATGATGTATGTATATTTATTCAATTATTGCCATTAAGATCTCTTTAAATTTATTATAGCATCTATTTGAGCTTGGCAGTAGGAAAGATCATTTTAATGATTTGGGTATTGTGCCTCTCCCTAGAGTCAGCTCAGCCAATGTAACAATGCCCTGGAAAACTCGGAAGAACTCCTGGAATTTGCAACCAGGTCATTAGATATAAAGGAACCTGAAGAATTCTCAAAGGTAAACAAAACAAAAGGAAATAAACAGACAAATAAAAAACACCAAGCTAGTATACTGAAGGAGTATTTAAAGGAGAGCTTTGCCATTTCTGATATGGAAAAGGTCTTGGGGTTTTTGCTAAATAAAATACAAGGTGTTCACTTATTTCAAAGCATGCTTTTTAGAGTATGTATCTTTGGGATTAGAAATTGATTATTTTAGTTCTCTTTTTTTCAATTTAAATGTCTTCTTTTCTCAGTCATATCACTATTGGCAATTTGTTTTAAAGGTTCTTCAGGACTTGAGCCAAATCATAATTCTCTATAGGCCTACTTCAAATGCTTAGTTACTGAAAGATGGTGTGGGATAACTTTGAAGTACAATTAGTAGACCAGTGGTGAATTGTTATAAAGCTGGGAAACCAATTATCTCAATCACACTGTTTTTAAATATTTCATATTAAAGTCCTTAGGTTGGGCTAATATAATTGGAAACAACAACAAAACAGCCTTGGCTAAAACCCACAAGTGATTCTTCTCATCCTTCCTTATCTTCAAGTTCTGCTGTTTAAGTTGCCGTGTTCCTGTTCTTAGAATGAGATCTGGATCTGAAGGCCTCCGAAGTGACCAAGTCACAATGGCACAGATGGGATAGGATTTTAGAACATGCGTCACACTGTTTTTGAATACTAGAAGCTTGGTTGATAGTAAATATATGCAAGAAGTTGAGATGAGATCTGGATCCTTAGATAAATAGCCAGGACTCCACAGACTCTGCTTTTTCCTGTCACTAGTACTTGGCTTGCAAAACAGTGCTTGAATCCTTTGTCAGAAAATTAACATTCCTGTAATCACCTTGAATTCAAACCTTGAGCTCTTCCAATGAAAAGAACTGACCAGAACAATTTCCAAGTCAGTATGCCAATTATCTACCTCCTTCTAAGCACTGGTCAGATTAAGAGGGAAAGAATGGTTTCCTACCCATGGTACCGACTGAGAATGACCGCTGCAAGCTACCGTGAAAGGGGAACAATGTCGCCTGCATTTGATCACAGATGGAAAGAGAAAATGGGCTTATTTCCTTTTTCTCACTTAGAATAGCTCACCCCTGGGATACTGCTCAGGGCGTGTCGTCTCTTAAGCACTGAGAAGAGCAGACAGATGGAGCTCAATCGTAGTCTGCAGGGAAGGTTGAGAGGGTCCTTTAGACTGGTCAGCAATGCTGAGGACAGAGAAGGACCTTTAACTAAAGTGTACTTTAGCTTTGAAATACTTACTAAGCACATCGTAAAATAGGACTTTACCTTCTATTTGTGAGCGTTGGTGTCATAGAAATGTACAAATGTGCTGTTCTAGAAAAGGTGTGATAGTAGTGGACCTGAGTTAGTTTCAGGCTCTGTACTTTCAAGTGAGCATGTATGCTTTGTTCACTGGGTATGCATCTCGTGCTTTTCCAAAGGTCTTAAAAGGAAAAGACAAGTTTTCACCTGGGACTTGATCTGTAGACCAGGATGGCTTAAAACTAAAGCTCACAGAGATTCACTTGCCTCTCTCTGCCTCCTTACATGGCAAAGTTAGTATTTTGCCTAAAGGAATTTGAGATCTCTCTTTTTTCATTTTTCTAAAAGGCCGTTAGGAAGAAACACACTCTCCTGTCTTTGGCAGAGTCAGGAGGTCCCGAGAGTCAAACACTAGGGCCTTTTGCACATCCTGGAGTTTGCACCTCTGGCCTATGATGTCACCTGTCGCAAATGAATATTTTTAATTACCTTTCGGATTTATGTAAGAAAAGGAAACTGCGGATTCATGACTGTTTGAAGAAGAAAAAATAAAGATTGATGTGAAGGCTGAGCAACCATGCAGATGGGAAAGACTGCTGAGATTCATGGGCCGTGGGGCGGGGCAGCAGTGGATAGTGCTGGAAGCCTCTGCAGTGAGCAGTGCCGCCTCCCGCTGGACGGAGGGACAGGGAAGCAAGCATGCTTTTCCTCAGGGGAAAGATGAAGAGAGAAGGTGAGACATGGACATCATGTGTTCACCGCCCACGCTCAGGGAGAAGCAGGATTAAAACTTACTTGAACGGGCAAGAGAAAAGGAAGGTGTGGAAGATGCCGGCTGGCCTGCCGGTCACATCAGCACCCGAGTTGAGGGCCACCCTTTGTTTTCCAGTTTGCTGGGACAAGCACCACTTCTCCCCTCTGCAGAAACCCTGGTGTAGTCAGCAAAGGTCCTGCCATTAAAGTGGGCTTGATGTGGGCCTTGCGCTACAGAAGCAAGGCTTTTGGGGGGAAATAATATCCCAGGTTACTTACGAGTCCTGAAAGTGAACCATGTAATCTTCGTGGTTTGGCTGTGGCTTCGTACTGACAACCACAGACCAGTCAGGAAATCCACCATGACTGTGATGCTTGTGAATGCTGCCACACGGCCTGCCATTGATCCCAGACAGCAAAAGAACTGTTCTATAAATTCTTACGACGACAGCCTAGTCTTGCTGTTGTTTATTTGTTTGCTTGTTTTGAGACAGGGTTTATGTGTATCCCAAGCTGACCTTGAACTCCTGTCCTGTCTCCACCCGCTGAGTGCTGGGATTGAGCCCCACACCACCATGCTCAGTTTGTGTTGCTGGAGAACACACTTAGGGCAGTGTGCATGGTATACAAGCACTTATCAGCTGAGCAACATCCGCAGCCCCAGGTTTGCAAGGTGTAGAAACAAGAAAGAATTAAAAATGCCCGAAAAATTCACAGAACATATTAGTTTCTGTATCTTTTCATTGTAGATTAAGAACAAGGTTCAGCAAAGATCCGTTTTCGTTTGTTTAAACTTGGTAATTGTGAATGATTATTTGTACTAAGTCCTTCAGTCTTTTGCAGTCCTACTTCAGTAACTTTGGCCTATGGTGACAGGTTCCTAAAACTGATATAGTAAAGGATTGCAATTATTAATTGAAAGAGCAGAAACTAGGTGTGTTGGCTCAGGCTTGTGATCCCAGTACTTGAGAAGTTGAAGCAGGAGGATTGCTGTGAGTTTGAGGCCAGCCTGGGCTACAGTATGAAACTGTGTCTCAGGAAACAAAACAAAAAGTTAATTGTTGAAGACAAAATGAGATAGAGAGGACCGTATGACTCCAGAGGAAGCCAGGCTCTCCCCCAGGTGCTCCTCTGATTGGTGGGTGGAGTCATGCAGCTGCAAGTAGATTTGGGAGCAACAGCTGTTGGAAAACTGTAAGCTTGTAGTCCAGAGGTACAGAGTTATAAAATCATCACTCTTGAGAGTGAAACAGAGGTGCTGACGATTGATGGATGGGTCCTGCCTTTAATCCCAGCGCTTGGGAGACAGAGGCAGGCAGATCTCTGTGAGTTCAAGACCAGCCTGGTCTACAGAGAGAATTCCAGGACAAGCAGGGCCACACAAATAAACTCTATCTCAAAAAAATAAATAAATAAAACAGAGGAATGAAAGTATATAGGAAAAAACCTTTGGATGGCTTTCTTTGGGAGAAGAATTCCTAGAAAAAAATTGTTCTCTATTTAAAGATATTTCTTGAAGTTGGGCCATTTTAGATAAGCAGCTCTAGAATTTGAGACTTCCCTCTTACTGTAGAGGTAGCTTCTCATCTTCTATGTTTACAGATGCATTTAAAATGATGTGGACCTAAATTGGAGCCGCAGAATTTTCATGGTGTATCATATGTAAATAAACCGGAAAGCATTTTCTCCTAGGTTATCTGGGTTTTCATTTGTTCCCTTTGTGTTGCCTCCACCACACACACAGACAGCATGGTATGTGAAATGACGCCACAAATGCCGTGTGTGTGTGTGTGTGTGTGCTTGTGTGCGTACATGTGTGCGTGTGTGCCTGTGTGTGTGTGTGCGTGTGTGTGTGCTTGTGTGCGTGTGTGTGTGTGCATGTGTGCTTGTGTGTGCGCATGCGTGTGCGTGCGCGTGCGTGTGCGTGCGTGTGCATGTGCGTGCGTGTGCTTGTGTGTGAGTGTGTGCTTGTGTGTGCGTGCGTGTGTGTGCGTGCGTGCGTGTGTGAGTGTGTGCTTGTGTGTGTGTGCGTGCGTGTGTGTGGTGTGTGTGTGAGTGTGTGTGCGTGTTTGTGTGTGTGTGAGTGTGTGCTTGTGTGTGTGCGTGTGTGTGTGTGTGCGTGTGTACATGTGTGTGTGTGTGTACATATGCACAAAAGTGGTACCATACTAGATAAGAAACAGAATCATAATGGAATTCCTCTTAAAGGGGTCATGTGGGGAAACTGGGAAACAATATTCTTCCGACCAAGTTCAAAGTCCATCAGGAAATTGATAAAATGGGAAGAACGAGAAGAGCCGAGTACTCCTCTAACATTAGAGCATCATTATATCAGTAGGCTAACTGCCTAAGTCCAGAATTAACTTACCTACCAGCAGTGCTCAGCAGAGAAACCATCAGAAAGTGTAGGAATGTGTGTCTATGAAAGAAGTTGTTTCAGTTGAAGAATATCAAACCAAACACAAGTAAAGGTGTATTTTGATAATCTTATGTTTAAGAAAAAAACCCCACAATTATAGTTCCATGAAATTAGCTGAAATGTTAAATTTTCCTCCTTTTATGGTAGCTGGTATGGGGGGGGGCTCAATCTTATTGTGATCCTAACACCACTTTATCAAGCTTACATCAACTATATAGATTTCCTGTCATTTATTTTTTGATGAATTATGAACTAATCTGTTGCAGGGTTTATATGCTAACTTTTCTTGCATGTCACTGCCATTGAACTTGCATGAAAAGCACTAACTACCTTCTTTCTCTTCTCCCTTATTGGCTCCAAGGCTGCCAGACAGATCAAGGATAGGTATGGTATAAAACCTACATTTTTTATTTAAGTGTCAATATTGAAGTCAGAAATGAAATTCTGAAACCATTTTTGTTAGAATTCTGTTGATGGAAATAACTGTATGTAATAGTTAAGTACAAAGTAAAGAAAATGTGCTCTCTATGTTATCATAGAATAACCAGCAAACTTTTTAAGGTCACATTTTAAGTTGTGAAAATTACACATTTCTAAGAGAATTTCATTTCTGGTTTAATACCATAGTTAGCTGTAGTCTTAGAATAGTTCTTAATTAGTTTAGTATTGAAGATTGATCTGTTTTGAATAACTAAAGTACATCTTTCCGGGATGCAGTTTTCACTGCGGTTCTTAAACATAAGTGGATCTTGTTTTCAGAGAAGCCCAGTGCTGCCAAGTGTCTGCAGGAGCTGAGGGTTTTCACTGCTGTGCTGGTTAACACCTCTGTGTCCTCTCTGTCCTGTTCTGGTGCCACCTCTCCCTACTTCTAATGCCACCACTGTCTCGTTTATACACGGTAGGAAAAGACTCAGGAAATCTGTTAAGTGTCTTGGCTTAGAAGGTGTCTCTCATTGGTAGTGCTGGGATTACACAGGACATCTAACACTTGCTGAAACAATGTTACCTCAAGGAGCTGAGGTAACATTTGGAGTGTCAGTCACCTGCCTGCCTAGTCACTGAGCATCCTCTGTAGTTTGTAACTTAAGGATTTTATCTCATGATCTTGAGAGTCTCTGACAGGCACAGCTCTTCAGTCTCTATAAGTCTAGATCATTTTATTCTTTATCAGGTAATTCACAGAAATACTCAGTATAGATTATGTGAAAACCAGTGTCCATTGTTCATTTGGAGAAATTTTCTACTGTGTGTCTTTTGTGGTGTTTGATGATGTGGAAGAGGGGACAAGATTTGCATAATGTCAAAGCATTCTTAGCACAGGTACTAATGTCCATTTCTGTAGATTCTGTATTATGAAGTGATTAAGGGTGTGGCTCATTAGTCTAAGTGCTGGAGATAGGGAGATCACTAGGGTTTTGTTGTTGTTCTAAGAGATGGTTCTCAGTGTTTTCCAGGCTGGCCTTGAACTCTGGGTGCCAGCATGCTTCCTCAGGTCTCAAGTAGTCCGGACTGTAGGTCCACGCTGTGTGCTCAGTGAAGAGCCCTGTGTGAGGAACGAGTCAGAGCAAAGCCGTGATGATGTAGATTCTCCTGCTGAGATAGCCAGAAACAAGCCTCTCACCCCAGGCTAGACTATTACTCCTTACTGGGTATGCCCCCATTGCTTCTCACTGTGCTTCCTGGTTTTCTGGTTTAGAAATCAGTTCCTGACAAGGTTTTGAGCTGTCCAAAGCGTTGTAGAAACTTGGGAAATTTGGTCAAACCTCTCCTTCTGTTTGTGGGCCTCCTCAGCTCCCATCTTTACTCCTGATGAGCTCTGTTGAGGTTTGTCTGTCTGACTGTAATGTTAGCGCCAGCGTTTGTATCTTCTCCCCTCACTGAACCCTCTGTCCCATCTTTCCCGTCAGCCCCTGGATGTGATCACATCAGTATCCAGCGTCACAGGAGTGGAGTCCTTGTTTCTTCTGTTTTGTCTAAAGCTTACACTGTTTTCTTTGTTTGGCTATCCTCAGACCATTTGCCCCAGGTCTGGAGAGAATTTCTAGGCCTTGACCTAATTTTTCAAAAACTCGGTTAAATTTGCTCATCTGTTTTGTCATTATTTTCTCGTGACAGTAATAACTCTGGGAAGAAAGAGTCTTTTAATTCAGCTGCTCCTATGGAAATAATCTAAGAAAGTCAAAGTGAATTAAAACATACCAAACAGCATGGTTTGAGAATGTCTTACCAAATTTAGACTTTAGTTTGGATCTTAAGGTTAACTTGTCTAAATATATTCAGTTTAAAAATAATTTTTTATTGTTGTGCCTCTGAATTGATTCACATAAGTTTTTTTTGTTTGTTTGTTTTTGTTTTTGTAAGACAGAATTTCTCTGTGTAGCCTTGACGGTCCTAGAACTTGCTCTGTAGACCAGGCTGACCTTGAACTCACAGAGATCCACCTGCCTCTGCCTCCCAAGTGCTTGGGTTAAAGGTGTGTGCCACCACTGTCTGACAATTCATATAAGTTTTTAAGTTTTCATTTTGACTAGATTTTTTTCTTATTTTTTTCTATTGCAAGTGACATTTCTACTGCATTTGGGGGGCATTCTTTTTCTTTGTGTTCATTATTGATTATGTCAAGTTTTTGTAGATTTTATAGATTTCAGCATTTCTTTTTAAGCAATTAATTCATTGGGTTCACAAGAAGCCAGCGAAGTTTGAACCCATCCCCTGATTGAGCATCTGTTAACTGTCTGGCTGTACACAGCTCAGTGTCTGGCTGTACACAGCAGCTCTGGTATGGCTGAGCTCTTGTCCTGACTTACAGTGTAATCAAAATATTCTTTGAGAGTCAGCAGCTTAGTGCTGGGCATGTGCAGGATCAGTGTGTATTTGATGTCTCAAGCATTCAGACAGTGGGAGTTGCCTTCCTCATGAACTGAATTCCAATATTGCACTTTTTTATTGATGAGCTAAATAATTTGCTGCTTTTTCATATATTACAGTGACGACTTTGTTTTTTAAGGAAGTAAAATAACTGAATTCAGCGACAGCTTGCCATCATCAAACTTGCCGTCTTTCATCCTGTTGATCTCTTGGTCGCAGATCCAACTGACTAGGCCTGGTGTTCCGTTTTTCCTGTAGCTCTGTCTGCATCCTCTCTCAAACTGTGTACTAGGAAGAGAACACTGGTGAATGAACTTCTGTGTCTTTCTTTTTTTTCTCCAAAGACATCACAGGACTGGCTGTGCTTGCTATTTGTGAAGCTCACTGTAACAAGAAAATAATGGGATTTATGATTGAGTCACACGTTAATTGAATAGGGTTTCTTTTCTGTGTGGAAAAAAGAGTCCACTCATGTGGACAGCTGAGGAGAAGCACATACAAGCGGGCACAATTACATGGCTCTCCTTTTTCACATCAGCTTATGCGTTGCTTTAAATTTTCAGTTTTAGTTAAGAACTTCCCCCATACTTTTGACACTGTAAGATCTGATTCTTATTTTGTATTTTGCTTTGCATTTATCGGAGTGTTTTCTGAACACTTCTTATTCAGTGGCCTGTAGATCCCCAGGCAGCTTCTCATCGTGTCTTTCCATGCAGTTGATGTAAAGGCGAGAATGACGTCTCGGGAGTGTGGAGCTCACTCTTCAGGGTCTTGGTTCTCTCCTCTGTCCTTCATGGTCTGTCGTTGGCAGGGATTGCAGCATATAATGCCAGGTCCTTCCTTCTGCCTCACTGTTGTAAGAGCGCACGGTGTAGCAGCAGCTGGGAGAGTATTTGGAATAGGCTCGTTGTTTGGTAAAAATGAGTGAGGCCCGCCTTAGGAAGTCGGTGAGACTGTATATAGAGGTTCAGATGAATGGGATCTTGTAAGCAGTGTTTGTACTAGATATTGCTTATTGTGATATCCGTCTGTCTATGAAATTTTATAAAACTGGCTGGAATCTTAGCTTGATTCAGTTTTCAAGACAAAGCAAATTTCTTTTGAACTACCTTTGTTACAGTTTCTACAGTCACTAAGTGAGATAATTTTTCTTAGTTTTATAAATTATGTAAAATTCATTACTTTGCATTCATTTATTTTAAAAAGTTTGTCTGTGTTTACCATAGAGTCACAATGGCTTCAGCCTTTCGCCTCTCTTTGAAACCAAAAGTCAGTGACAACATGACGCATTTAATGGTGGATTTCTCTCAGGAAAGACAGATACTGCAAACTTTGAAGTTTTTGCCAGGTAAATACATTCTTACATGGGAATGTTCTAATAAAAAAATATTGCAAGATTTTTCTGTGATGAAATATTTTGTTAGTATTGTTTTAACTCTATTTTTGTATTTTTAGTGCTAAGTACTATTTCTATCACCAAGTAATACTGTTATTTGCTATGTAAAATTGTTAGCACAGTGATGATTTGGGGGATTATATTGGCTATGTTGTTGTTGTTGTTATTATTTTAACTTTCATTCTTGTCTCATACATTACATTCTGACCACATTTTCCCCTCCCTCCACTCCTCCCAGCCTCTCCCCTGTAGTGAGATATCCACCCCGCCTGCACCTGTAGCACTGACTACGCCCATTTGGACATCACTGGGTGGGTTTAGGTCTGGGGTCCCGGACAGGTGACTGGCTCTCTCTTGCTTCCGGTTGGGTCACAGAGGGAGCCTGGGTGAGTCCTTGGAGCTAGAACTTGCAGTGGTCACCTGCTTCTTGGTGTAAGTGCATTCTCCCCAAATAAACTTCACTCAGCCTGTACTGAGTCCAGTGAATCTTGATTCCCACACAGTATCTGGTGCCCTTGGAACACGGCCTAGCAAAATACAGTAAGACTGGGCACAAACCTTCCCACCATGACTGGCCATTGTGGATAGGGAACACGGTTAGAAAGGCTGGGTTAATGATTATAATGCTGTAAGAACCCACTGAGAGGAATATAGGTGAAAACGTAACTTGCAGAGGTTACAGGCTGTCGAGGAATGTGTAGAGGGACAGGTGACAGGCAGGAGGGTAGCTGTCTGGAAGAAGGAGCGCTGGTCAGTGGGTGGCTGCGTGTGTGCTGGCTTTTCGGGGTTACAGATGCTCGCTGACAGCACTGGCTTGTCTTGTAGTTTCCGTATTGTATTGGTGCAGAGTGATACACACTCAGCAGAGACCATATTTTGAATTCGTGCCTTTTCCTAGGTTGGCGATGTGCGGTAGGAAGTGCTTTTGTGATGGAGGGTAGCAGCAGGATGCCATGGCTTCCGGTGAGCCTTGTAAAGAGCCACTTGCGTGCAGTGTGGAGTTCTGTGTGGCTAAGCTGTGATCCACCATAGACGAGGCTTATGAAATGGGTTTTCACATAAGGCGTTTTCAAGTTATGGCTGCCTTAATGTGAAGTAACACCATTGCAAACTGAAGAACTTTACCCTCCTCATTCACAGGGCTCTGCTGCTGTGCAAATGGTAACAGTAGGCAAATAACATCTTAGAGTTTTAGAGTACCAGATCCTTTCAATGATTTGATCAGTTCAGTCTGACACTTAGAATTTCCTTGGGAAGAGACTGGGTTTAGCTTAGTTTTGAAAATTTGAGTTGTAGCATCAGAGTTCTGCTGATTACTAGTTAACTGAGATTGAAAGTTTTACTACTCAGAGGTTCAGCTGTGAGCTTGCCATGTTGCTTAGTGCTAGAACAGCTGCCTAGCATGTCTAGGACGACAACGTTGCCAAAGAAAGAAACAAATCCAAATGTTCACGGGTAGGGAGTGGAGGAGGGACTTACATTTCGGGCTGGGAAGTAGATCTCAGAATTTTTCAAGAACAGTATTTTCTAAAACCCTTTGAGAAATTGTTTTTTCTTTAATTGTGTCACATTCTTGATGTATCTCTGTTTACCACCAGAATGACTCTAGGATCTCGCCATTTTCATGTAACCATTTTTTGTAAGATGTAAAGCATTGATACAATAATTGCCATCCCAGAGAAAAGAAAAGGAGATGGTAGTACCCTGTCGAGAAGAGCTGTCTCATGCAGTTTCTCACTAGTCAGTTACTGGAGAGGAAAATGCATGCCCAGGAAAAGGCAGGGCAGCCTGGAGTGTGCCGATGGGCTGCCCGCCCTCACGGAGTGTGCCGATGGGTGCCCGCCCTCATGGCACACAGCTCTCTCTGGGGGCCACCATGCCTGCATGCATCACAAACAGGAAGGGCCCAGACAAATATCATAACCACGGTCATGTAACTGGCAGTATTTGGACATATTTGCCTTCCTAAAATGACTGTTTTTATTAAACCCAGTGTTATTCCACTCCTTGTAAGACATGGACACACACACACACACACACACACACACACACATATATATATATATATTTGTTATTGTTAAATACTTCTCCTTTGGCACTTAATGATATGTGGGAGCTTCTTGTTGATCACTTCAGTTCACTTCAGTTTCACTAATGGCCGTATAGTCTGAATTTTTACATTTTATTTATGGTAGAGCATTGTGTATAGGTCAGAGGACATCTTGGAGTAGTTGGCCTTGGTCTTGTATGTGGCATATGCCTTTGACACCTTAGCTTTTCTATCAAATCAGTTAATGGTCCTTTTCATTGCCTAACGAAAATTTTATTTTTTATACAATCAATTATATGGATCATTCACTTCCTATGTGTCTGCTATATTTTTAATAGATCTTACTTAGATTCACCCTTGCATGGTTAACTAAGCATATATACTTTCTTACAGTTTCCTGTCTGTCCTGGAACATGCCATGTAGTTCATTCTGGCCCTGAACTCATGGAGCTCAGCTGCCTCTGCACCCTGAGTGCTAGGATGACAGCCATGTGCTGCCATGCCCAGCTTACAGTTGGTTTATTACGTTTTGAACATAGGTGTTATTTCGGGGGGCTGGATTGCTTCTAAGTTTGGACAATAGTGCGTACAGCTGTAAACGCGGATCTGCGCATACAATAGTGCGTACAGCTGTAGACGCGGATCTGTGCATACAATAGTGCGTACAGCTGTAAACGCGGATCTGTGCATACAATAGTGTGTACAGCTGTAAACGCGGATCTGTGCATACAATAGTGTGTACAGCTGTAAACGTGGATCTGTGCATACAATAGTGCGTACAGCTGTAAACGCGGATCTGTGCATACAATAGTGCATACAGCTGTAAACGCGGATCTGAGCAGATGGAGGTTTTCAGCTCCTTAGGCAGCTTCTGGGTAGTGTGGTGAGATTGTATTTATTTTGGTAGCGAGCCTCCTGCGTGTCTTCAGAAGAGTGATTTACATTCCCCCACCAGCAGTGAACAGGTTTCCATTGGCCCACAGTTTTGCCACCATTGATATTGTGGTGTCATTTCATGGCAGGTGTAATTTGTATCATGTGTAAAGTGACGCAGCTGTTCATATACTTAGTCTATGTTTGGTGAGTTATCTCTTAAGGTCTTTGGCCTCTTTACTTTTTAATTGAGTATTTGTTGTTTTAGATACAGGGTCTCACTATGTTGTTCATGCTGTGAACTTAAGATCCTCCTGCCTTGGCCTTCTAAGTACTGGGATTATAAGGATGAACTACCACGATAGGCTCTAGAGTGTTTAGTTTAGCAGTTATAGCTTAGTACATTTTTTAAATCATCTTTTGTGTTGTATCTAAAAGCTGTCACCAAACTCAAGTCATCCATCTGTTCTCCTGTGATGTCTTCCAGGAGTTTTCTACTTTCACCATTTTCCATTAGGTCTGTGATCCATGTAGAGTTCTTTTTGTGTGTAAGAATGTGAAGTCTGTCTTCCCCGTCCTTCTCCCTTGTGGATGTCCAATGGCTGCAACATTAGCTGAAAACACTGTTGTTGGTCCATTCTATTGCCGTTGGGAAAGACGAGTCGACTTTTTTTCTGGGTCTGTTTCCTTAGTCTGTCGGTTTCTTCTCTCAGCGCCATTGCGCCCTAAGTTCTGTGGCTGCAAAGCTGTCAGTCAGGAGACAGTCAGGAGACTTAGTCCTCCGGCTTCGCCCTGCAGGCTTAGGTTGGCTCTTTGACACCACTCACTTCTCCGTGTGGAGTTTGTGAAATAAGCAAGACACCCTGACCAGATTTTCACTGGGGATAGTGAATGCTGAGACCAAGCAGGAGGACTCGACATCCTAAGAATAATGAATCCTCCTGCTTAATCAAGGAGTATCTCTCCATTAATGTAACTTGTTAAGTTCACTCCTTGGAGTTTTCTTGTTTACTTCATAAAGATTTTGAACACACTTTATTTGATATGTTCCTAATTGTTACACATTGGGTGATGCTAGTGCAAATGTTGTGTTATAATTTGGAATTTTATTTTCTCATTGCTGATACATAGGATAGCAACAGCCTTGTGTGATTCACTGTGTGTCTGCAGCCTTACTTTAGTCACTCGTTAGTTTTAGATTTATTTTATTGTTGCGAACTCCTTCATATTGTCTACGTAAACGATCATGTCATTTGTCAATAAAGTTTTCTCAGTTGAAATGCCTTTTACTTATCTTACCGTCTTAGCATGTGAGCTTGGGCGCATCACGCAGTCATGAGGGCACTGTGTTTCTGATTTCCGTGAAAAGGCTCAGATTCACAAGGAGGGCGGGTAGCTGTTTTTAATCAACATAATGTTACATATGATATCTGTATAGTACTTGCAAAGTTTCATACAGTTAAGACACATCTGTGCCACTTAACCAGTGTTGCAAAACTATGAAATTTCTTTTATGGAAAATAAATTGATTTATAGTTATACATGTTAATTGTAGCTCATTGAGTCCATTTATTTTAATATATCATAAAACTCTCTGGAGAAACAATTGAAAACTTACAAGTATTTTGAGGAATGAAGAATTCTGTTTTGTTTAGTATGTTAAATTATTTTTTTAATGTTTTTGAAATTTGATGGACATGTATCAATTACCTGTATTTATGGAGCTTAGTATGATATTTTGATATACAATCAAAGCAAAAAGCCATAGTCAAATTATTCATGATCATATCTTTACTCCAAATATTTGTGTTGGGAATGTTAAAAATGTAAGTGTTTAAAATTATGTGATAAATTATTGTCAACTATTCAACTGTAATCACCTTCCTCTGGTTTGGAATCTCAGAATCTATTCCCGTTATTTAACTTAGTGTGTTTGTTCACACCCGGTCACCAACTGTTGTCTGTCCGCCCTCAAGATCTTAAAAATGCACTGGAAACAGACTTTTCAATTAAATCAACCATTGTATTCAAAGCTTGTCAATATTGATTTACTTTGTATCAAATGACATTTAAACTAATAGATTTAAAATACGTTTAGAAGTAACAAGTCATTCTCAATTATTTTTAGCATGGACAGGTGTTTGGAGTTTACCTGTTGCCATTTAAGATTTTTATAAGCCTAGAGTGTATGGGAAGGCTTTGGAATGCAGACTTTTATAGCATGGCAATAAAAGAGGCTTTGAAAATAATTACTTTGAACTTGGAGGTTATCCTTTCTCTTAGTCTGAGTCAGTTTTGAATATTAAAAAATAAATAACAAACATTGAATGCCGAGCATAAATATTTGAGTAGATTTATAATGTGTGAGTACTCATTCCCTGCCCCCCTTCCTTCTCTGCAGTCCCAAAAGCTCCAGAGATAGACCCAGTAGAGTGTTTGGTGGCTGACAACTCTGTGACTGTAGCGTGGAGAATGCCGGAAGAAGATAATAAGATTGACCACTTCGTAATGGAGTACAGGAAAACGAACTTTGATGGGCTTCCACGAGTGAAGGATGAGCGGTGTTGGGAAACGATCGACAACATTAAGGGTAGTGAATATACGCTATCAGGTAACCCGACGGCATCTTGTAAGCCTGATCCTTAAACAATAAATGTAATTAGGAAAATATTTTATCTTAAATGATGAAGCCAAACTGATTTTTAAAACATTTATTATGTGAATGGATTTCTGTTAAAATACCAGTAAAACTTTTTATTACTTGATATCTGCAACCTGCTAAAATAGTGTATGCAAAGCAAATATAAAAGAATGTTCTGGAAACAGTATCTCAGAGTAATCTATTTTTCACTTTTTGCTGTTTTGTTTGTCTGTTTTTCAGACAGACTCACTGTGTAGCCCTGGCTGACCTGGACTTTACTATACACCAGGCCAATCTTCAACTGTGCCTCCTGATTTCTAGGATTCCAGCATGTGACACATGCCTAGCTGGTCTTTAATTTTAATTTTAAGTTTTTTGACCAAGTAAAGAAATTAGTTATTTTTGCTTAAACCTCCACATTTCAGGGACATTGTAAACACCATTGTTTGTACCGCCACGGGATTGATGACCTCCATGTTTACATAGAATTGGGACTCAGCTAAGATTTTTTTGTTGACCCTTTGAATTCTTGTTAAAAGGTATCTTAGTAGAGTGAGGCCTTCGATGCTTTAAATGACAAAGTGTTAGCTGAGCTTTTCAGTGCACCCGTCCAGAGCGGGCACATCAGGAGTGTCCTGTTGAGCACTAGCTCCTTCCCAGGGGCCGGCGCTCGGTCTGTGGAGGAGACATGTGTGCACACAGCACTCCACAGTCGATCAGCACACCCGAATGCTTGCCAGTGGCCTCTGTGATTTTTTACATTAGCAAACAGAGGCCAGTCGTGTTATGAAAGGTCTTACAGCTAGTAATACTTGGACTCAGATTCAGTCTGGGTGTAATTACACAGGTCATGTTGATCTCTGTGTTTTATTTCCTTTCATTTTTTATTAAAAACAAGTACTTCATATAAACATTAAAATTCCTTAGGGGTATTTACTTTCCAAAAAAATTGATGAATGTGCCGCTGTAAATTGTGACATCTCTCCTTGAATGAAATACTACAGGCTTTTTGTTGTTGTTGTTGCTGCTGTTTCTGTCTTTGTCATTGGTTTGTTGTGATTTTGTTTTTTATCCTTTGGAGATAGGCTTTTGCTTTGTAGCCCTTGTTAAACCGGAACGCATGATCCTCCTGTGTTGTGTCTATAAGTGCTGGTACGCAGGTGTGCCCCCATACCAGCACAGTGCCACTTCCTTTTATAAAATTCATTCATTGAAATGAAAAACAATCCTGTTTTACTTACCAATCCCAGTTCCCTCTCCCTCCTGCCCTCCCATCCCCCTACCAACACCTCATGCCACCCCCCATCCACTCTTCAGGGACGGTGAGGCCTCCCATTGGGGATCATCAAAGTCTGTCACATCATTTGCAGCAGGAACTAGGCCCTCCCCCACGTGTCTAGGCTGAGAGAGTTTCCCTCTATAGGAATGGGCTCCCAAAGTCCTTGCGCTAGGGATAAATATTGCTTTCACTGTCACAGGTCCCATAGACTGCCCAAGCTCCCCAACTGACACCCACCTTCGGGTCCTGGTTCAGTCCAATGCTGGTTCCCGAGCCATCAGTCTGGGGCCCATGAGCTCCCACTTGCTCAGATCAGCTGTTTCTGTGGGTTCCCCAACATGGTCTTGACCCCTTTGCTCATCACTCCTTCCTTTCTTCAACTGAATTGAGTCTAAAATTGAGTCTGTTTTAGTTATCACTACGTTGAAAACATTGTTAATTGTATAATTTAACTATTTTGAGGAAAATATTAGGTAAGTCATTATTTTTATTTTCAGACTTTATCATCTATTTAACAGAAATCTATGCTCTCACAAGAGATTTGTAAGGAGGAAAAAATGTCTGACAATGCATACTCATGCTTTTGGGAAGGAATTCTTTACTTTTTATGACTTAAAAACTTTCGTTTTTTTAGGCTTAAAGTTTGATTCAAAGTATATGAATTTCAGAGTGCGAGCTTGCAACAAGGCTGTGGCTGGAGAGTACTCTGACCCAGTGACCCTGGAGACCAGAGGTAAGGCTGCAGCCATTGTACAGAAGCAGACAGAATGTAGCATCAGGGTCATTTCGTGTGTGGTTGGATTCCTTCCTGCCACCTACCTCTGGCTTCTCCAGTGTAGAAATGACAAGGCAGGGCTATAGTAGCAGAGGTTCCTTTTCATTGTCTCTTTATAGCTGGTGAACAAGCTTGGACTTAACAGTGACAAACTATAAATTCTGTGACAATTAAGTTGGAAAATTAACAATTGGCTTACCATTTCCTGGGAGTCTGAGAGCTGCTCCTTTAGCAGTGTCTGGGTTTTACTAAGCAGACTCTTGATTAATTGCTCTTGAGTTCATAAGAGACCAAGCTGATTCAGGCCTCAGGAGTCTAATGCAAGTAGCTCCCTAAGGTTAGCCTCGATTGAAATACAACCCTGTGTTTGTGATTCCATAAAGCAGTTGACTTTGGAAGTGTCTCAGTGTATCTACCCATTAAAGAATTCTATCTTCTTTTTTACTGAAAAGCTGCATTATTCTTCCTGTTTACTTCTGCTTAGATGCAGCTTTTGAAAGTTATTGACTTCCTTGTGCAGTATGACATTTAGTAGAGCTGTGCAGTCAGTAGATTTTTATTCAGATGTTTCATAATTGAAACAATGAACAATGACTATGATGCATGTGGAACTGAACTGTTTTTGCCAGAATCAGGAGTGAGAGGATGCTTCACCCTCTGGGAAGTCACTGGGCTCTGTGTCCTTATCTTGTTTGTGATGCAGAGTCCATAGCCCAAAAAGCCTTAGCCAATTTCAACTACTATTTGTAAGTGAATGGTGTGTTATAAAAATTTTCTTTCATCTATAATTACCAGAAAAACTGAACTTTTGGCAGGAGACGTAGCAGAAGCAGGTTAATTTGTAGCTATGTAGGTGACACCTTCTAAGATAGTTTGGGAATTGCATCACAAAATAGAAAGAGCATCATTGTACAGCTGGTGAATCACTCATCTCAGAGACTTTTTTCTCAGTTTCTTGAAAGGGAAGCTAATGTCATGCTTCACCAGTTTCCTCAATAATCCCTTCCAAGGATTTTGAATACTACATATAGTTCCCTAAAACATCAAACAATCTGAAAGTATAGTTTGTTTGCCTCGTTTTCATTAAGTGGGTGCTTTTTTCCTCTCACTCTGTCAAACAAGACATCTGTCTCAGTTCCTTTGCTGATGTCACTGTGTCCCCAGTATATCCATCTTATCTCAGTTTAGAACTAATGAGAGTTGAAGTGTGAAATTGTTAATACATTAAAGCTTCAGAGGATACGTGTGCTGTTTTTACATTAACATTTTATATACTATATTGCCTTTTCTTCCTCCATACTTGTACCAATACTCCTTTTCATTTTGTCTAAACGGTCAACTGTTTAGCTGATGATTCTAACAATATGAAATTTCGATTACTGTGTGCTGAGGGAGAGTGCTGTAGAAGCAGAGATACCATCAGCGATGCAGGTGTACTGTACTTGCTTAGTGTATAGGATATGCAGGAAAATAATGGAAATGGGTGGGAGCTGTAAGCTACAATCTAAGCATTGACACTGTTTTGTATGCTGGTTGGGGTTGGAACTTTTTCTCTACACACAGAGTTTGTTCAGTCGAGTGAGAAGTAGTATGTCAGGTGTGTTCCAGACAGTGGAGACGTCTTACACTTGTCAAACGTTGTCTTGGGCAGCACTTAACTTCAGTTTGGATAACTCATCATCACATCTGAACTTGAAAGTTGAAGATTCCTGTGTAGAGTGGGATCCTACTGGAGGAAAAGGCCAAGAGAGTAAAGTTAAAGGAAAAGAAAATAAGGGCAGGTAAGTCAGTTCATTAAGTCTGTTGTATGGGTAAGTGCTCACACACTGATTCATCTCTGGCCATAGCTGACACTGAAACTCTTATCTTATCAACAGGTGTGTGTGTGTCGATTCTTATTTGACAAAACCTCATAATTTTCATGTTTATTCTGCATAGTAATGCATGTTTATGGTTATGTTAGTAACGCAAGGGTGAAGAATATACTATCAAAACTCAAATTTGCGATTAACATTTTTCATACCTTTTTCTTAATTTCTTTCATAAGTGCATCATACATTCTTATTTCAGCAATCTGTTTTTAATGTCATAGATACGCCAGTCTGAACTAGTTGAAAGAGAAGTTTCTTGATCTCTAGGTCAAGGCTTATAGGTCACCTGTCTGACCTGAAAGAGACCTGCACAAAATGACAACTTTGAGCATTTCTACCCCAAGCTTTGCTGATGAACTTGTTTTTATTACAGCTCTCCTAGACGAATTAGACTATGGAAACCCTAACTTTTTCAATATAATGGTTGCTCAGACTGTGCATTCGAACAGTGAGTCAAGCCCTCAGCTGTGCTGTAGGATGTTAAATTGAGGTTGTAAAGTAGTGTCTTAACGGCTGCCTATTTCTATCTGACAGTGCCCATGTCACTTCTCTGAAGAAACACACAAGGTGATGATCTGTGTTTGTCTAGTTCTAGGACTTAGTATCTAGCTTGGCTGAGTAATTTCTTTTAACCCATAAGCAGACGCCATTGCAGCAGCCTTCATAAGTTACAATGCTGCTTTGTAGACTGTTTGTATTGGTAGCTTGTGCTTTGAATTTACAGCATTGTAGTGTACTGCGTTCTTTGAGTTACGCTGTATATGGTAACATATGATCTGCTCTAATAGACTATTTCTCATTTGATTTTTACCCTGCTTTTACTTATACTTGGCATCTTTCTTGTTTCACTGGATTCAATAACATTATTGATTGCTTTTATATGTATCTGATATGAGACAGGCTTGGATTGTTCTATGCTAGTTATGTAATTTCAGAAGAATTCAATTAAAAATAATGAGCATCACTGATAAAATGATTAAGACAATTCCAAAAATAGGGACTATTGCAGGTTGTGCAAGTAAGAAGATCTTATGTGAAGATGTCACATACCTTCACCAGATACCCACATGTGCCCTCTTCTCGGTCTCCTCTTCTTTTGGTTTATGTGCTCTACCCCGGTGACAGTGATTGCATTTGTGCTATAAAATGCTGTTGAATTTGATAGACTACATAACATTTTATTTGGCAGCTAGGAAAATTGTGGACTGTATTCAGCATGTCAGACTATGTTATATCTTTTTCCTTTTTTCCTATTAAAGGGTATTGTATATGTTGGCTATTTATAGAATGTTATATGAGTATCCCTTATTTGAAATATTTGAGACTCAAGGTATTTTAGATTTTGAAATATTTGTACATATAAATGGCATTTTCTACTGATGGCATTGTGTCACTGCTCAGAGTTTTCAGGTTTTGGACTAGGGCTGCTCAACATGTATATATTCATCTTTTTCATAGACTTGTTTGTTGTAGAACATATGATAGGTATTATGGGGTTTATAGGGGTAAACACTGTCCTTGCTTTCAAAAAACTTAGTCTAAATTATATAGATAAAATAATGATACAAGGTAGTTAGTGCATATAGTGATGAACTAGAAGAAAACTGTTCAGAGCTGCCAGGTGTTTAGGTGGTTGGTTAGAACTGTGTACCAAACAGTTACAGCAGACAAGTCTTTACTGACTTACTGTGGCAGTGGAGAGAGGTCGGGAACAGATACAGCAGACAAGTCTTTACTGACTTACTGTGACAGTGGAGAGAGGTCGGGAACAGTTACAGCAGACAAGTCTTTACTGACTTACTGTGGCAGTGGAGAGAGGTCGGGAACAGTTACAGCAGACAAGTCTTTACTGACTTACTGTGGCAGTGGAGAGAGGTCGGGAACAGTTACAGCAGACAAGTCTTTACTGACTTACTGTGGCAGTGGAAGAGAGGTCACAAAGGAAACGATGCTCACTCACCCTGTGTTCTGGTTGCCCCAGTTGAGTGGCACCTGGGGAAGGTCAGGTAGTTAACATAGTCTAGAGGTGGGATCTTGTCACTGGCAGAAACTCCCAGGGAAAAAAAAGGTTTGTGTTGGTTATGGAGGAGAGTAGGAGATAAGTGACAAAAACTGGCTCCCCCCACACACACACTTTAAAATGCCTTTATCTTCTTCCATAAGAATAGGTCTCTCAGTGCAACTGAGTAGGCAAAGAATACTGATTGGATCTGAGCATTATTTTAGCCAAGGGATAAGAGTCTCCAGAGAAACTGCTGTGGAACTTGGTACCTTCCACATCTGGTATGAGCAGGGCTGCCTACTCTGCTGTCTAACACCAAGTCTCCTTACTCAAGCCTCCCGGAAGCCTGACTAGTATAGTCTTTGTAGTTGTCTATGATTCTGTGTGAAAGTCGCAATAGCCATTTGGTCAGGATCCAGAGACTATAAAATTAGCATAGGAGGGTCTGGAAGACCTTCATTCAAGAAGTGGTAATTAGACAGATTCTTCCAGAAGTGGAAGGATATTGGTGTTCCTCTTACAGTGAAGGGAACAAAATGTACAGTAGACAATGGTGACCTAAAAATTAGAGAGCACTTTGCCTGGTACACTTAGTTGTATAGGATTGTCAGAGTGACCAGGCTAAAAAGGCAATTTGGGACCAAAGCATGAGCCTACAAGACTAAATTGTTTATGGACAATATGAAAGCATGAATATTTTAAAGTAGGGGAACCCATTCTGTTTATCTTACAGTAGTGAACAAGCTGAATTGGGTGGCAAATCATTTGGAAAGCAGATAAAACAATTTGCTCTAGGGGCTCCTCAAGTATTTAATCCAGTTAAATAGTCAAGGTACCTTTAAGATGGACAGAGGACACTGTTTTGTACACCAGGTGATGGCTCTTGTCCTTGCAAGAATGCACTGCAGAGTTTGGGGGCTGGGCTATTACAATGGAACATTTTCTTCATTCAACCTAATTCTGAAGCTAACCTGTCACTCAGCAGTTACCTCTTGTTCTGTTTTTCATGCTTCCTGGTATCTCTTTACTACTGGTAAGTCACATTAATTTTAATTTTGTTTCTCTGTTTTTTTAAATGAGCCCTTAATATATTTTGAAGCCAGACTCAGTAAAATGTTTCTTCTTCTTTCTGCTGTCACTATCCTCTAAATGATTTATTATTGTACCTGGAAAATCGTTTCCAAAATGAGTTTCTTCTCAGTAGATGGTAGGACCCAACAGTGGAGGGCTAAATGAAGTTTGCGCCTTTGGAAAGATGTCCTGGTTGATTCTGATTCTCTTGTGCCTTCTCAATTGATACTCAACATTGTGTTATAAAAATATTCTAAAGACCCATATTTTCTCTAGGTTTAATATTGAAAGAGCATACTTGGCCCTTTACCAAATACCCTACTTTAGTAAAGATAGTGCATATCTCCTGTGTGCTGAAGACAGCAAGATGTGGTTTTCTAAGCTACTTCAGTTACCAGTATTGAAGCCACCAAATATTAGGTTGTATATGCATTGTCTTTTTGCTGTCATCTTTTAGTCCATGCCTGTTGTTAAGGGAAGAATTTCCTTCTTCATTGACTTCTTTCCCTGCCCTCCTGCGCCACTGTGATAGCCTGCATTTTAAGAGTTCTTCAAATGGACCTGGGGTCTGCAGCTCAGCTCAGAGTGCTCTGTGACAGGTGCATGTCCTGGATCCTTCCCTAGCACCAGAGCGGGAAGGAAACAAGCACTGACCAGTTGTTACAGTTGGGTCTACATCACAGCACCCGGCGTGCTGCTTTTCATTTTCGCATACCCTTAGTTACACATTTACGGTAACTTCTTTCTCATCGCCATTCACTGATCATTGCTTGGCTTCTCACAGCAAGATCTTTTGTGCTTTCTGCATTCTCAGCTGAGAAGCAATCACACTCATGGCTGTGGCGTGCAAGCCTCCCCGGAGGACTGGGCTCAGAGTGCAGCTGGACGCAGTGAAGGCTGCTCCAAAGCAGCACCCAAGCCTTCTCTGCTTTCCAGATGTGCTTTCTACAAGGACACTTGTTAGTTAAACTGTGTTTACTACGCGTGAATATCAGTGTATGAAACTAAAATAACTTGCAAAGAGGAAGGCCAATGTACAGTAATTTTGGCGGCTATATTAGGTAATCTTTTTTTCCTATTTTTATTTAAATTAGAAACAATCCTTTAATCCCAGCACTCGGGAGGCAGAGGCAGGCGGATCTCTGTGAGTTCGAGGCCGGGCTGGACCGAAAGCCTCTAAAACAATACAGAGAAACCCTGTCTCGTAAAAACCAAAATAAATAAATAAATAAATAAATTAGAAACAATCTTGTATTATGTGTCAATCCCAATTCCCTCTCCCTCCCCTTCTCCCCTGCTCCCCACTAGCCCACTATCCCATCCACAGGGACGGTGAGACCTTCCATGGGGGATCTTCAAAGTCTGTCATATCATTTGGAGCAGGGCCTAGACCCTTCCTCTTGTGTCTAGAGTAACAGAATATCCCTCTATGTGGAGTGGGCTCCCAAAGTCCATTCATGTACCAGGGATAAATACTGATCCACTGCCAGAGGCCCAATAGATTAACCAGACCTCCTAACTGACACCCATGTCCAGGGGGTCTGGGTCGGTCCTATGCTGGTTTCCCAGCCATCAGTCTGGGGTCCATGAGCTTCCCCTTCCTTGTTCAGGTCAGCTGTTTCTGTGGGTCTATCCAGCCTGGTCCTGACCCCTTTGCTCATCACTCCTCTTTGCAACTGGGTTCCAGGAGTTCAATTTGGTTCACAGCTGTGGGTGTCTGCCTCTGCCTCCATCAGCCACTGGATGAGAGTTCTAGGATGTCATATAAGGTAGTCACCATTATCATGGGAGGGCATTTAAGGTAGCCTTAATGCCAGTTGGTGTCATTCTTGTAGATCTGTGAAGACCTCACTAGTGCCAGATCTCTCCTCCCAACTTATAATGGCTCTCTCTTTTATGGCATCTCCCATCCTTCTCTCCTCTATTACCCTGGCTCAACCTTCCTGCTCTCCCATGTCCTCCTCTACCCTCCTCTTTTCCCTCTCTCTTTCTCCCATCTCCTTCTGCCCTACCCTTCTCCCCCCCCCCCAATTCAATTAGGAGATCTTGCCTCATTCCTTTTCTCTGGGTTACTATGCATATCTCTCTTAGGGTACTGCCTGCTTCCCAAACTCTCTGGCAGTGGGACTGTAGGCTGGCAATGCCTTGCTCCAGGCCCAAAAATCCATATATGAGTGAGTACATACCATGTTTGTCTTTTTGTGACTGGGTTACCTCACTCAGGATGGTTTCTTCTAGTGCCATCCGTTTGCCTGCAAATTTCAAGATTTCATTATTTTTTTCTTCTGAGTAGTACTCCATTGTGTAAATGTAACATGTTTTCTCTATCCACTCTTCAGTTGAGGGGCATTTAGGTTGCTTCCAGGTTCTGGCTATTACAAATCATGCTGCTATGAACATAGTTGAGCAGATGTCCTTATTGTATGAGTGTATATCTTTTGGGTTATGCCTATGAGTGGAATTGCTAGGTCTTGTGGTAGACTGATTCCCATTT